CAAATGATACGTAGGTTTCGAAACAAATCCTCAGTCTGAACAACACGGGGAATGAAACTACGCATCCCGGGTTGATTGGCAAGTAAGTCTTCCGAGCCAGCGTAGCGTGTAGAAATCTAATCGTCCGTAGCACCATTTACGATATCCCAGATTCGTCTCGTCCTTTTGATGTTGGTTCGTAGCGCCCCTTCTCGAGCTCCATTACTACGAAACTAACAAATCTTAAAGCACATCTGAACGGCACAAGAATGAACGTGCACTGCTCCCACGTTAAACCCGACGATACCAGCTTTCAGCTCCAATACGGATCCGACGACATCTCAGGTCAATTCGCCGGATACTACGTTCGATGGACGGCAGACAATGCCGCGTACCCTTACGCCGAGATGCATAACAGGCCTCCATATGGAACGCCGAACTCCTCATATGTCAACATTTCTACCCTTGCGCCCATAACCTTCGACCGGGACATTACCCTGGGCGTACACATGTTGATGCAGAACTGGACCTACGACGAGTGGTGGCCAGACGACACAGGGTTCAAAGCTATTTCCAACCAAGTACTGTTCGTCTTGGCGGCACCTAACATCACTCTTCTTCTTCACGACTCGTCCGGGTCCGTCGCGTCCGTGAACCTCACCACCCTCGATTCCACCGACGCTTGTTTGAACGTGTGCGGTGATAACAATCTGGATAAATACTCAGCAGAGTGTGTCGACTACATGCGCCAGCACACCGACTGCGTAGCCAATAGCGAAACGTGGCATTTCCAAGCCGTTGGGTGCACCCTCCAGACGACACAGTCTACTCTGGCCGTCGCACAATCCGGATTGCTGGTGCCCGAAAGTTATTCGCGTACCCAGCCTTCCAAGGCGCACGAGTGGGACGACTTCTTGCCTATCAATCCTCACGACGGATATGATTTCCTCGCGAACGAGTTTCTGGAGATGTTCGTACCCGCGCCGTGCTACGTAGACATGAGCAACAACACACAGTCCCAGGACCGGGACGTCATGTCCGCTGTCATCACCATGATTCTTCTGGACAATCAGGATCTCACTTACTTCGAAAACACCCTAGCGAACATGACGGCCAGCTACCTGTGGAACGTCTGGCAGCAATGCGATTCCCCATTCAAATATGGGTGGTCGTATCCGCAATGTTCTCCGAGATCTGACGACTTCGCTGCATCGCTCGTGACCACCGCGGCATACGACCGTCTTGAGACGAAGGCAAGACTGCAGATAGTACAATGGAAGGCGGCGGTGACGGTCCTGTGTGGGCTCGTCTTATTCTTTTTGGCGTTTTATCTGCTTGGGACGGCCACCGATAGTCGGGTGGGTGTGCCGTTACGAGAGGCGAGGTTCATGGAAACGTCGCGGTTGTTAAAAGATTCTTCCATACCCGAAGTTGTCAGCACGGCTGCTCCTGGGTTTGAAAACAAGTCGATAAGGTGGGTTTTCTGAGGGCATCATCTACTTCATTGAGGCGCTAACTGATCTTCTCAGGTATATCCGTAACGGTGCTGAAGAGAGGAAGGCGCGTCTGGATATATATAAGTAGGAGATGTGGGACCTCTATTCTAGACATGACATTTTATATATGTAACGTGGAAGAATGGTTCAGCATTGTAACGTTGCCGACATTGTTGTCCTTGACATTGAAGTACGCAAGCTCAGCGCCAGTGACAGCTGGGAGTTCTGGTACTGCGACACGTCGATGCACCTTACCAAAGACGTTTATAATCCACCGCTCACGTATTGGAGAAAGGCTTCGCGGTGCGTCTTGTCTTGTTTTTGCTGTTCTTCGGAATCCATTTGCTCTACCCATATGTTGAATATTCAACATCAGCGTTAACACGGCATGACAATCGGATGGCGAAGGTCAAGCGCGTTTTGAGCAGCTGAAAGACGTGTGGAGCACGCCACAGTTGTACTAATTCCGTCGACGTATCGTGAACGACCTGTTCAAACTTGGGAGACAGCGTGTTAAGTATACGTACAAAAGACCACACCACTGAGAGGCCTCAAAGTAACAGTCGGAATTCCGTAGTCGCTTTTGCTCGATGTGACTGTGGAGGGGATCATGGGATTCAAGCCAGACTTTCCTTCTAACCACTCCACAGTCGTTCATTCGCGTCACACTGGCATACTTCCTAACATCATCCTAAAGCGCTAAGCCAGCAAGTGAGCGCCTGCAAGTCGATACTATGTAATCTGTGACGTTGCTACGAGTCAATCGGACAGCTCAGTCAACCCACCTTACACCCGCGGAACACGTGTTTCCGGAGTGAGGATACCAAGACTAGGCCTCCCTCACGAACGCAAATGAGTTGGGTAAGACTCATCCTAAATTGAACATTGTACTAGGCCCACATACCGCGGATGAGGAGTGAGCGAATGTCCGGCGCCACCCTCGAGGTCGGTGAGGATCCAGCTAGGGTAATGATAGGTGGAAGGCTTAATCCGGCCGTCAGCGCTGAATACTAGAAGACATTTAGCCTTGATTACCGGAGGAAGAGAAGCAGAGGCGGCGGAGAAAAGTGGGTGATAGTAGTGGGACTTGCGGGCATGACGGTGCATCGTTAGGCCTTGGGTACAGAGGGACTGGGCATATAATAAATTTTGCGTGAGTGCCGGACTCGGATGGGCTGGACCCTTGCGCCTTCCACGAATAGACATGGTAGTAATGAGCTTGAATAATGGACTCACTGTACTGCGTTCTGCACCGGCCGAGAGTGAGGTCCTCGTTGCGAGAAGACTGGCACCGGAGGTAGTATTGAGCCACTTACCTGATCATTATGTTCGCGGCGGAGCCTCGTCTTCTTCTTCGGCACCTTCGGGGATGTTGAAATCATAGGCGACGTCAGTTCAAGGTTAGGTTAGAAGAGAGACGTATTTGGCCAGTGGTCGCCACCTCTAAAATTGGGTGCGTCGTTGCGGGGGCATCAAGCGACATGATGAACGAGGAGCTGGTAGGCATTGTACTGCATGCCGTTCGACGTGCCAGTGAGTACGAACTCTGTACAACTTCAATTCAGTCACTTACATGTCGGCAACAGTTTCAAGTGTAGGCCTGTGATTCAATGCAGAGCCTCACGACACTCGAGGGCGACGTGCTGATGTCATAGTGAGGTACGAATGAAGTCTAGCGCGGCAGGGAAACACCGAAACGTCCTACCTACCTCCATACGTAGAGGGTCGTTCATTCCACCGAGTCCAGGTTATGACAGACTTGAGTGCGACCGCCAACAGTGTGGACGCCGAGCGAAGGGTACATCTATTGTAGGCGAAAGAGTCTGGAAGGATCGCGCATGAAGTTCTGTAGCTTGCTGATCACGAGAAGCAGGAAGAACTTCCTAGTGGAGGTTAACCTAGTCAATCTCCTCAGCGACGGCGGCGTGATTCTATACTTATTTCTTGGCGAGTCCGTCCACGTGCGCTCGGTACTGCGAACATTTGTGCCCGGTTTGCGGACGAGAGGGAAACAATCCGCAGAGGAAAGCGCGCCAGCCGGTCTCCTGACAAGGTCAGATAACAGTATAGAATACATTGGAGACCGACATGGGACCAGCTGTCGAAAAACAGCAACTAATTCCCAGCCCTCGTTGACGTTGCAAGGGTGGCTGTGTCCATTTATTTGTCCGCTTCAAACAGGCTTCCCTCCCCTCCCATCTGGGTGTTTCCTCGAGCCTGGGCTAGCTGGAAACCGCGTTGCTAATCAGGGTCTCAAAGTCCGGCTTCCTCCGGTACGTCCTTTCGCGGTTTCTATCTGCAAGGGTCTGGTTCTGGCGTCTGCCGTAAACTACTGCCACTGGTATAAAAGCGCGCGCATCATGGCCACACCCTGCATTCGATTCCCATCGCACTTATTCACCACACTGCTACTATGGGTGCCGACTGCCTTCATCATCATCATAACACGCGCGACGATGATGCTGCCGCCTTGACCACGCCGGTGAACGCTACCAACAGCGGCCCCAATGCTGCCATTGTGGCTGGCGCGGTGATCACGAGCCGGATTGCCCATTCAGGCCGCCTGTCGCAAAGTAGAATTCAACTGAGGTCGAGGTACGCTGTTTCTGTTTCTGTTTCCATCGGTGTTTCTGATGCTAAATTTCGTGTCTTCTAGCTTGCTCACCCTCCTCGTTGATGATTCTACCCCACCACCACCACCGATACCCACGCTCCGTCGCTAATTTCGAATTTCTGATTTTCCCCGCTCATCGTATCTCATGCTCGTTAATCGCTGTACACGGCCATTTGTATTCCTACAGGAGGAGGAAGGAAGGAAGGAAGAAAGGGAAAGAAGCATAACCGTGTTGTATAACTAGCTAATAGTTCCGTTTGAAATAACGCTTTCTTCGTTTCTGAATCTCTGGCGCGATGATGCGATGGTGATTGCAGGGACGGAGGAAATACAAATAAATAAGCAGTTCTTATCATTCGGGTGCCTAGGTGCCTTCCCCAGCTCCGTCATCGATGACCATCGGATAAAGATAATCGACAGTATCCTTGGACACACACATGGCGGGAGCGAGGAGGACAATAGCTGCACCTCCACGTTGCCGATGGGTTATATATTTAGGCTTCCTATCAAGTGGTGCCCGCCTGCGCGATGTACAACTGATTATCAGCCCGAGTGTTTTCGGAACTCGAACACGATACGTGTTACATGAATCTGTACGCAACGTTCTTGACCTGGGTTCGACTCGGCTCCGCGCAGGCTCAAGAGCAAACTGGTTCACAGCACTAGGAGTTTTGAAATAGCGTCTTGGCTCCTGAGAATCTTTACTCTTCGACTCGGATCAAGTTCGAGTCACCATCGATTGCTTGGAAGTAATGTGCATAAGGCGTTCTAGTCCCAGAGTCGTGCTCCGTACTAGTTGAGGCCGAACGCGGGCCACCGCGTAGGGGACACGCAGATCATAGTATCATACCGCCGCCACTGCCCTCACAAGGATGAAAAGCGCAAAAAAGATTGAATTGTAGTCTCGGTGATGCATTAAGGGGGAATCGAACCCCCGGCGGGTCGAATGAATGTGGCCATTTGGGAATGGCAACGACCCAGGTTACCACTACCCCATTAATGCATACTTTCTCTCTGCGAGGTAGTTCACCATTCTTTGCTGATATCAAATAGGTTTCAACTTTCAAGACTAGCTACAGTGCTGTCCTCATAAGTATACCCCTTCGTCGGCCATGCTTCAATAACACAAAACCCCGGATTATCTCCCTTATACACAACCTCCCTCACCCACCTCTGCCGATCCGCCTTCTCAAACCGCGGCCTCTGCACGACACACAAGCGACACCCACGCTTCTTCCTCGCCTCTGAAAACTTGCCTCGCGGAAAGGGAACGACAACCCCTAGTTCGGTGGTGAAGCACTGAAAGCATCGGGTATGACGGCAGCTTTGGCACACTCGGAAAGAGCTCCCTCTGTTTTTCACACAAATCGAGGTACTCCGTCGTGTAGCACGGCGTTTTGCATAAGGAGGCTAGGACTCGTTCATGCGATGAAAGCAAGAAAAATGGTCGATCGGGGGTAAATTCGGATTCGAATGTGAGTGGCGAGACTCGGACCGCCAACAGTACAGTGATGCGGGAAACTCTTGTTGCGTTCCGCATCTTCATTCGCGCCAACTCCTGTACAATCGCGAATCAATGACGAAGCCATCTCTTGTACTGTGCCATTTCATTCAATTCGTCGGTCACAGGTCACAGCGACCGGCGAAACGACGAAATGTCACAGTAGTCACTCAAAATTTCGCTCAAAATGCTCTGGCGGGGCCCCCGACAGCCCCCCGACGCGGCTCCGCCGCGTCGGCAATTACCCGATATGGTAATTCGACGAAACCAAAATTTCGTCTCGGTGGTCACAGGTCACACCACGCGACGAATTGAACGAAATTGGACAGTATTCCATGAATGCACTTGGTACCATCCCTCAATTTGCTGCAACGTCTTCTTCATGCTTCAAATCTCACCACCTAGACTCGGCGCAGGTGAAAAGGAAGATAATCCGCGGTTAGGTAGGTGACTGACGAAGGGACAGGAAGCCCAGGAACGTTAGCGCTCTCGTGAGCTGAGAACTGTTGTAGTTTTCGCAGATAGGCCGTACACGTCCTTCACTTGTCGCATTAATGGGGTAGTGGTAACCTGGGTCGTTGCCATCACATGAGGGCTCGTTGTTGTCGACTCGCCGGGGGTTCGATTCCCCTTAATGCATGTCACCTCGTGGTCTCCACGTCTTTTTGTTCCTGGCTTCGCTGGCATTTTCCCCTTCCTACTGTGGCGACGATTTTCGCTATCGTGCTGGATTCGTGTCATCTGCTTCATTGTACATATCTCTCCCCGTCACCCGTGTTTTAGGATGAGGCACTTGTTTTCCAAAGGCCAGCACGAATTGGGAGCATGTCTTCTATTTCGCGGTGCTCTCTAGTTTCCGTATGAGATGTACATTCGTTGACTTCAATCTGGAGCGCGTAGATTCACAAACAATTGAATAAATAAGTATGCACATATATATATATACTGCGGTCATGAAAACAGTGTGTCGTAAGTATGCTAAATCTTCAACTCCCTAAAGCCCCTGACATCGACCCTCCCAGCGCCATTGGTGGTCCACTCGCCCTCGCCGTCCATCTCCTCCTGCTTGACGCGCACGCTCACCTGGCTCGGATGCCTCCCCCCCGGTATACGTATCACTCCCGCACCCGTCCCTCTCGGGGGCGGACTCTTGAGCTTGTACTGTTTCGGCAGACCGAGCTTCTTGCGCTGGCGTCGCGTCAACTTTGGCTGGGGCTCCGGCGAGGAAGAGGAGGTAGAGGCGCGCCCGGGGGAGTCGGGGGAGAGGGACGGCGTCTCCTCTTCTTCCTCGCTCAACTCGCTCAGCTCGGCGTCGAGATCAAGACATGCCTCGCGCAGACGTCGGCGTTTCCGCTCTTCGCCTTCTTCGCCCTCGACGAGGGTCCGCTTGGGGGAGCGCTCCCACCGCTCTTCGGGTACGGCGCGCGCGGCGGAGGAGGAACGCGGTGCGGGAGTAGCCCGTGAGGACGGCGTAGGTGATGGAGAAGATGGCGGGGTCGGTTTGGATGAAGACGGGATGGGTGTGAGAGGGGATGATGAAGATGTAGATGATGAGTACGGGGAAGATGATGACGAGGAGGATGAGCTTGGGGCTAATGAGGAAGCCTGTGAGGATGGTGGGACCGACGATGGTGGGACCGACGACTCGGGCTCTGGCAGCTTGAGTCTGATCTTTGTGATCCTCGGTTTCTTGGTCGACGCGGCTTTAACCTGCCGCTTTTTCGCATTCTTCGATACCCCTACCAAACGCGTTAATAACAATCAGAACGACGATAAACGACATACCGTAATCAGGCGGCAAGTCCTCTCCAGGTGCAGGCCCAGGGGACTCGACAACACAAGGCAGCCCCGCATGCGGCCCGCGCAGATTGCGGATGCTCGAAAAGTGCTCCCAGTCGTGGTACGCCACATACAGCGTCGGCCCGCTCTCCGCCTCCGTCTGCCCAAACAGCGACGGCCCGTCCTCTTCCTCCAGCTTCACTTTCACTTTCTCCTTCTCCTTCTTTTCCGCGCCCCTCCTTCTACTACTCCTCCTCGGCTCCGGATCCTCCTCTAAACCAGCCTCCTTCTCTTCCTCCTTGACAACAGGCTGGGGTGAGATGACATAGACGAGTCCCGGTTGGATGACCTTGACGTGCCGCTGCGTCAGATGCGCAAACGCCGATAGCTCCATGTGTCCGCCGTACGTCGCTGTATCCTCTCCTCAGTCAAAGCTAATTTAATAAACGACAAGACATACCATTCTGCCTCATACCCCTCAAATAACCATCCATGCCGCCCTTGCCAAACTCGTCCACATCCACAAAGCCCTCATAGCGCTCCCGGTGCGCGTCGATCCAGTCGCAGATATCTTGCCGCACCTTTCCAACACAGTCTAACGGGGGCGGGCGCTAAACAGCACAACGGGCGCACCTTTCCATGCATCCCCTCGCTCCCGTAATACTGATCACTAAGCGCCCGGAACAGGCAATTCCCATCCCCCAGCGTCGGCGCCGCGTACAGCCCCAGCGACCGCAGCTGCGACGTCAGGAGCGGCGTCGAGGACAGCGGGTCCGTCACCAACTGGCACAGCATCAGCGTACACATCTCCCACAATCCAATAACGCACCTTGTTCCCGCTGCTCCGCGTAGACCTCTTTGGCCGCGTCTTTGCCATCGTCTGTATATGCCCCTATAAAGTCCTGCCGTAGTCGTAGCGCGATCCACCAGCCTGTCGTGCGAGATCTAATCCGAATCGTCCTGATGGTCGTCCAAAGCCAACCACCACAATAGCCGCTACCCGGGGTCTCGGCATCCAGACACGGGACCCCAGACACTGCCCCCTCCTGCGTCCGTTATTGTTTGAAAAGTGCTAGACAGAATACACTGCCGCCGGTCAAAGTCGCGGACTGCAATGTAGGGTAGTGGAAACAACCTAGGTTACAGTACCAAGAGGTTGTTTCCCGGTAAATTACCGGTTATTTACCGGTTTGTAACCTAAGGCTGTTGGAGGTAGGTTATTTACCTGCACGTGACATATCCACGTGATGTGTGGCGCACGGCAAAAAGGCAGTATGCACTATATTCAGACCCAGAACAATTACTATTGCCATTAAAATCTATCTAATTCTGATGGGACCAGGGCAGTGTGAGATCTGGAGGAGAAAGATTGAAAATACTTGACGGCTGCTGCATGGCACTTGCTCCCGCGGAGACGTCACGTGAGAATATCACGTGCCGGTAAATAACCGTTTTTAACCGGTAAATAACCTAGACCTCTGGGAGGGTAGGTAAATAACGGTTATTTACCACCCCCCGAGGTTATTTCCACGACCCTACTGCAATGTCAAGTTGATGTCAAGGATGAAAAGCGCAAAAAGAGAAAAGAGCAGGTACTATATGATATGCATTAAGGGGGAATCGAACCCCCGGCGGGTCGAGGAATCAAGTTATTACTCCATGGCAACGACCCAGGTTACCACTACCCCATTAATGCATGTCTCAGTGCAGTACCACTCTTTTCTCAGCGTCTATTGTAAACTCTAGGCATCCAGAGGAGAATATTAATGTGCTTTTAGTTCAGATGGTATACTCTCTACTGATTGCGAGTAAAGGAGATGCTATGTACACAAAACCTGGTCGAGTGAGCAATCGGAAGACATGTCGCCACATCGGAAGGTGAGACACGAGCAGGCGTACATGCCTTAATCCGGATGATCGATAAAGTGTTTGACCTGAATTGAGACAGGACATTTCGGTAGTACGCGAACCGGCCTGATGCACAGCTCTTCTCAATCAATAAAGCACAGCAAGCCTCTCACCGCATCAATGCTGTATCCACCTATCCAGCACCTTGTCCCGTTCACCTCAGCCTCCGCAGTACCTGAACCTGCCCGGTAACATTTGACACAGTGCTCGAGATGTAAAGGATTGTCATCAAAGTGCAACCGATCGTCTCCTTCCTCCCTCCTCCTTTCCTCCCCGGACTACTCAAACAAAAGGCACACATGAAGAAGACGCGTGCAGATTCGTGTACCTGGAGGAGTGTGCGCATTAATGGGGTAGTGGTAACCTGGGTCGTTGCCATTAGAATGCATAGCCGTTGCATCGACCCGCCGGGGGTTCGATTCCCCCTTAATGCATGTCGTGCCAAGCAGAGTTTTGCTGATTGATCCCGACACTGGTTTTTGCACGCTGAGTGTACGGTCACACCTAAAGAACACCTACCTCTTCTCCGGCTTGAACCAATTCATCACTCCTCCTCCTCGTCTGGTATCTCATTCCCATTCAACAATCCGACATTCATACTAACACCCACTGGTCAACGGCACTCGTAGACTACGCGCTTTACGCCGTAGACACTCCTGTTGCAGGTTGAACTTGGGAGGACGAGAGTAAGTAATACACCCCCAATGCGCGATGTTCTCCACCGCGTCCGTATCTCTCTAGGTACACGGGAAGCATCAAAGCGGGGAGTGGTGAAAGTCGATGTTGAAGTTTGGTAATGACGGAGCATAGTAGTACGCACTTTCAGTCCATATGGCAGTTCATTCAGCCTTGAGAGTCCTTTCTCGAGTATTATAAATGAGAGCAGGAATGAAGCATTGTCGCGTTATGCAGTACATACGCTCGAGTCGCGGCATAAGAGCAATGGGAAGGCAATTCAGACGGCGAGCGGTGGGTGCCATCCTAACGCGGTGGTGATATGGGCTATGAATTTGTACAAGTGCGATGAACAGTACGAAGGACCAGTGAAGCACAATCCGATCAGAAAATATTGTGATAAGATGAGAGCACTAAACGCACAGGAACACATTTCTAAACATCTTCCTTCCCCTTATCCTCCCGCATCTCCGCCTCAATAGCCTCTGCAACAGGATTACCAACCACAATCTAACCCCTGCTCTCCCAAACGATACCTCCCTTCTCAAAGATATGGTCGATCTCGAGACCACGCGTTTCCGGAAAGAACTAGTAAACATTAGATGGAACCTGGCACTTGACAAGCGGCACCCAGCACGCGTTAAACACGGCAAAGATGATAAACACGCGCCAATTGATGTTTTGGATCGCAGGCGAAGACGCACATCCAGTTGCAGAAGCTGGAGATGGCGGAGCCGCGCGCTCGTGCTGATTTCCGCGGGGTAGAGCCACGGCTATATCAACATGCCATGAGGAATGGAAATAGCGCGGACTGATGATTGGCAGATATCCGATCCCAAGGAATATCTGGAATATGAACACCATCGCGGTCGCGCGGGCTTGGAGCCGGTGGAGAGGAGGATGGACGCGATGATGAAGCAGATGGAGAGGCCGGTCGCAGATATCATGAGCAGGGGAAGCGGTCGACGGTCTGCATGGTTAATGTAGGCAAGCGAGCGTGGACTTGAAAGCTTACCCAGAGCGGAATAAATGAAGCAAACATGTATGTTATGGATGTGCAACCTCCGAGGATGAGCGATAGGTTGCGTGAGAGACCCATTGTATTTCGATAGACGACAGGTGCGAGGTAGTTTATCATATTCGAACTAAAAGTTGGGTTTTGAATATTGAACCGACAAAGTAAGAAGGAGAGAGACACATACCCAGGAAACTGCTGCTGGCATCACGTTGATGCCGATGCACAGACATATCCGTCTGAAATCAGTGTCGTCATTACACCCTTAATAAGGGTGTCAAAATTTCTGGGAAGGCGCCACTGCGCTGGCCCGTGGACGAAGGACATCCCGTAGTCGAGCCAGTACGCGATAACCAGGCCGACGATGGTTACGGTGCTGTTGAGGCAGACGAGCGTGCCGCGGATGTGCCCCCCCACAGGTTTCGCATTGGTATCAACCACCTGATGGCGATTTATTGAGATCCTTGGTCGGAGCCGGTTGGAGTATGAGTTGAGTATGAGTTATACTCAAGATGAAGGGTTATGCATGAACAGTAGGATAGACTTACATACGACTCGATCCCAAGTACTCAATCTTGCCTCAAGTATCACTCAAGTACGATAAATGTCACTTAAACATGTTTATTCCTAATCTTCAAAGGTGTACTCAAGGTGTACTCAAGGCGTACTCAACCTACGCTCAAGAAGTACTCAAGTGCCCCTGCTCCAACTCATCTAGCTCCTCGTCTTCGCCGCCACTTTCCGCATCCTCTTCTTCATCCTCGCCCGCCATCGCCCGCGCCGCCCTTGATGCCGCCAATCGAGTGGCCTTGGCAACAGCCTTCACCCACGATTCCTCCAGGCCAGCAGGCAGGCATACGTTCTCCTTCTTCAGGTCCGTTGGGGTCTTCTGCATCGGCTGCTTCCCCTCCCTCACGTCACGCACATGTTCCCATAACGCCTTGTCGCGAGGAAGATGGAGGATGTGGCCGAACCCGGCGCGATATACCCGATCCTTCATCCGATCCAAGAAGTCCTGGTACAACCAAGATCGTTCACGCGCATAAGCCGCGTACCCCGCCTTCTCAGGACCTTCTGCATCATAAACCTTTGCTCGCCGCATCCACGCGTTTCGTTCTAGACTGAAAGAAATGATGGTGAACATACTGTCAGCCTGCCCTTTCTCAGTTGCTTCCAACCAGCGATCCCTCTCAGCGCTCAATCGGTACCAGCGCACTCGCTCGCCTGGGAAGTGATCAGTAGCCTGAATATACAACCACAAGAGGCTTACCGTCAGCTCTCCATTCTTCGACTTCTTCCGTCGTAATGTTCCCTCGTTCTTGCAATCTATATATCCAACCTGCGTTGATGTTGGTCAAGGCATCCCCGGCCTTCCTTGCCGTGGATTTGTTAGAGTTCGAGGAATCTGGGTTAATTTGAGATGAAGACAGTTTTAAGCAGGACATGACACTTACCACCGCCCTCTTCGTCTTGACCGACGGTACGTTTTCGCTTGGAACCACCTAATGATTGCTTAGAACATACACTCATCGACTGAGCAATACGTACCCGGTTGACTCTCCTTCTCCTTGGCTTTCTTTGCGGCCTTTTCCCTACTCTTGCCCGTAGTTTTCGAAGTGGAGGCCTCTCCTTTAAACAATGTTTAGAATAAGCTTGCCAAGACATGAAGCTAACTGACCTCCTGATATCCGCTGCTCCCTTCGAGACCGTTCCGCATTCCTTTCGCTCAGGCCGCCACCCTTCACCTTCGCCATATTGTTCGTTGTTCCCCGACGCTGGTACATGTAGTGCGCGTCGCCGTCATGTCTACGAGAGTCGCCCGGTACCCTGGACTCGTCAACGCCCTTTTGAAGGAAGGTATCGTGCTTGGTCATCGTCCATGTATCGTGAAGTTGGGTCTGATTGATCGTTCCCAAGGTCAGAAGAGCCTCTCTGTGAGCGTTCCAGTCGGCTATAGCTTTGTTTCGTTCCCACTCGTATTGTCTTGCAGTGGAAATGGACTTCGGTACCGGTCCATCGTATTTGATCTTGGCTTGAAGAGCCTCAACCGCGTCCTCCCCGTGAACCCGAGCTTGCGATGCCAACGTTCTCAAGCAGTCTGCCATCGTGGTGACCATCTGCAGTGCTTGGAAGGCAGCACCCTCGCGAATTTCCGTCTCCAACTGCACAAGATAATCCAGGCGTTCTCTGAGCATTGGTGTCAGCGAGGAGGGTAATGCCAATATCCACTTCTCTACACCGCCTTCCTCGGCCTCGCTGCCGTTCGCCTTCTTCCCTTGCTTCAAACTCGTACTCTCCGCGGACTGGTCATCTTCCTCCGAGTCCTCCTCCTCCTTCAGAATAGGATCGAGATATTTCTGCCGAAGCTCCAACCATACCTCCATTTGCTGCTCGATGTGTTTGCGGGAGCGTCGTATCGTTTCTTGGTCCAGGGTTGACGGATATTTCTTCTCTCTGGCGATGAGCATCACCAGGTCGCGCCTGGGATAAGTTAGAACGCTGTAGTAACAATAGGAAATCAACGCACTGCTCTTTTTCTAGGCTGACTCCTTGAGCTATCCAGATCGCCAGGTCGTTCGACTTTGCACCTCCAACAGACTGAACAGGACAAGGGTCCGCCGTGTACGCCTCTATGACTTTATCTACGGACGGCACTAGTGGATCATAGTCAGCAACGGTTTAGTCGCTCCGTATATCACTCACTCTTTTTACTTCGATGCTTGTACGGACTCTCGACATCCGTTTTAACTTCCTTCCCCTTCGTGTCCGTTACCCATTTCCAAGAAGCGCCATTCAAATGAGCGAACTGTGCTTTCCAGCCGGGGATTAAGGCCTCGTTCTTGGCGGTACAAGCAGCAAACTCGCGATCGAAGGCACGGTACTGCGAAACGGCATACGTCAAGTCCTTGTATAGCAGATTGGCTATGAAAGTTTGTTAGCAGTAGATCTAGCTCACATATCAATACTCACGCATCGCCATGGTCTTCCGATAGTTCCAGTCCATCGCGAGATAGAAATAGATCTCATGTCCGTGGTGGATATTCATTTGAAAGATCAAGGGGCCGAAAGGATTCGATGTCGGCCAGAAATGCTCCGACGTCTCGCCATGGAAATGACCGGCGCATTGCATGTAGAATGGTCCGTAGATGTACTTGCAGATGTCGACATGAGCGTAAACGTGGGTGGCGCCAATCATTTTGCGCATCTGTTTAACCACGGGAAGGAGATGAACGAGTTCCTTGTTGTTCGCGAATCTATACTCCAAGTTGACGCAGTATTGACACATGCAGTCATATGCGTAGTCCACTGGCGGAATGGGATCGCCCTGCTTGAGTCCTCCCAGGCCACTTCGTTCGAGATTTCGAGCCGTAGCCATGTCCATGCTCTTCTGACTGAAACAATGTTAACCTCACATTCATCACAAATACCGCTTGGAGACGTACTCTTCTCCTCGTGGAAAGTCCACTGTTGAATAGACGAACGCATGGCAGCACTGCCCTTGCCCGATGCCACTGTACTGACAGTCGGCGAACCGCTTGCTTTTGTCGTTCGACGCGCGATGGTTATTACAAGGTACTTTCTGCGTCTGTCGTGAGTCTCTGAAGACCTTGGAGAGTCAGGCACCTACTTCTTCGTTCTTCTTGGCCTTCTTCAGTTTCCGTGCTCGATACTCTTTCATGGTGTCTGGGTTGGGTTGTAGACCACGGTCTCCGAGTAAGTTGACGTCGTCCGGGTCACTGTTCT